CGCCCAGTCTTCGCACGAGTGTATGTGTGTGTATATACTATATAATGAATGTCGTATATATTTTATCCTTGCATGAACATATAAACTACCTGGAAGAAATTCTCAACTTTAGAGTAAAAATCGTTTGTTTTAATTATTTATTGCGTAGTTTAGAACAACAGACGAAAACATATATATATATATATATATATATTATCGAGTACATCTATGTGCCAGAGAAAGTGGGGCCAAAGTTATATTGCGAATGAGATACAAAACACACTGAATTATAGATTACATTAGAATATATATATTAAAGTGTCCATGCCGTCACAATGTGAATGACCCGTGATGTGCATATAGCTGCAGATCAGTGGAAATAGTGGTACTCGATGCCAACAGTCCACGGCTCCATTATACTTGCAAAATACTTCGTAGAATCTTCTAATATATAAAATTCTCGTGTCACAATGTTTGTAACAATTCTGCTCCAAGACGGCTTAACCGATTTTTATGACATTTTGTGCAGTAAGGCTGAGATAGGTTGTAAACTGTTTCTCACACCCCCAAGTGATAAATTCTCTCATCAATTTATCAATCAAGGTCTCATCAATTTATTTTTTATTTTGGACATTTATTTTGCATTTGATTTTTTAAATACTGTTATATAGGTAGAAGTCCAAGGAATGTTTAATCGCATAATAAATTTCGAAACGTACTATATTTGACAAGAAAAATGAATGGCAACTTTGATATATCATTTAATTCTCAGACAGTACAAAGATTGCTGGGTTAGCACATTAATTTATAAATTTCATATTATAAAAGTAATAAATTATTCCATTTTTAAGTATAATGGTCCCAAGTAATCGAAATTTGGCCATAATTAATTTTAATTTTAATTTTGAACATTATTAAGGTTCTTTTGTCAAAGACTTGCTTTACGTATTAATATTCTAATTTCTACTCTACTTTGATAACAGCGCAGAATCAAATCTTTGATTCACTAATTTGACAATTAACTATATTGACATACAGGCAACGCTGCCAGTATCTTGGGTACGCTGCCTCGATGTGCCGCGTTGGATTACAATGATTGTTTTTTGTGATTGTTTGTAATAATTATGTAAAAAATATATAAATAAAAAGTTCTAAAGTAACTTTAAAAATATAAATACATTAATTTTACTATATTGACATTATTTGCCATTGACGTTTTGTTATCAGTCGTGTAATATAAAGGTAGTGTGTGTAATGTTTTATTCATTATTTAATGTATTTTTTATGCATAACTTATAATAAAATTTGCATTCTGCACACCTTCTCTATATAAACTATAATTGTGTTAAAGTTCATACTCCTCCATCCGTAGACTTTTCGTAAAATAGGGTACAAAGTTTTTGCTTTCCGTTTTAATAATATGTTCAAACATATCTTGGGCTCTCGATTTCTCGCAGCACGTATTTGAGATTGTAACTCTAGCCACAGTTTTACGCGTCTACGAGACACTATCAACTTTCTTCTTTATTACGCATCGAGTAAATTAATGATATCGATTATTCCGGTGGAATCGTTAAACTGATTGACTCTCCAGAAATGAAACGTAATGAAAACATGACTGACAATTTTGCTATAGTGAAATCTATATTTAATTTGTGTGGGAGGAAATTATTTTAATTTGTAATTAGAACTGTGGTTGATCAAGGAAACTAGGGAATTGTCGTAAAATGCATATTATATATATTATACAAGGTAACACTAATAACTAGGACCAGGACGGGAAACCGAAAGAAACAATAGAAAGAAGTGACAATTTAGAATAGAATTTTGTATTCCAAATATTTAACTTATAAACGAACATAGACTATATACAAGTCTATGTTCTATAGAACATAGACTTTTATTCCACAATAACCATTCTTTATTTTTTATAACACTGTGATTGCGGTCAATCATATAGACCACATGACGGTAAACCATAAACTATATAACTTGCGCGTTGCCTTAAAAACTTATGTATAGTCCATATACCGTCCGTATACCATAGTCTCTAGAGAAAACTCGAATTCGGCTAAAGTTATTTATTTGTAAAAAAAGATGCAATCATACATAGCTAATTATAAAAATATGTAAAAAAATTCATTATGCCGGATATCTAGTTGAAACGACTATCACATATTTTTTATTGTATTCACATATCTTTACCGACACACAAATATTTTTTACAATAAATATATTCATGCACGATTATTTCTGTCGGCCTTGCGAGTTCGTGAGATACAGTGACGGGTGATCATACATACTGACAGATTGATTATTATGTAGACAGCCTAGTCGTAGGTACAACATTATGTTAGTACAATTACTTAGGATAATGAGAGCTTGATGTATACAAACTCTGATTGCTTGTGATTTATTACACTAGTTCCTAAATAACTTACTACAGATTAAATAAACAAATAGTTTTCTTGACAACCTTTGTGATGTAGCGGTTTAATACATTGCCTCGCCTTCCTATATTCGCTATTCAATTCCAATACAGATTTTTGTATGCGATCTTGTTGTTTCCTGTATACAAGTGTTTTATTGAATAATATTATTTTATTGTCTGACGGATGTCTAGTATCTGCAAATCAAGATTTGCTTACTTTGGAATTTAATGAATTTGTGTTTGGCAAATGTCTTAACATTTATTTTCTTTCTTCAGTCATTTTTACATAAATATATATTAAGACTTTGTATAAACCTACTCGTACCATATAACCTATATATTCTGCCAAGCAGCATGATTTATAAGATGTGATCGCTTGAAGGATGAAATATCGCAGTGAGATCATAGAGAACACAGAGACATTAGTCCTCAGGTATGACACGGTCATGTAAGAGATGTATTAGAGGTATGACACGACAGCCTACTCCGTGGAACTGTTCTTAGTTCGTACCTACAGGTCTCATATTACTACTTTCCATTAGGTGGTCGCAGCTTGTTTCCAAACAGAGTTACCAGACGACTTTGTACAAAGTCTACTTGTTTTTCGGACTTCTCTAATGCTGTTGACCGCAAATGGTCTTTACAGCTTCACTGAACGATAGGGGGCGAGTGCAGATGGAACCAGCGGACGGCATAAGGAGCGGCTGAAGGCCAACTCTCACCTGACGGATATGATTTTAGTGGGTATGGTGGTGATGGGAGCGGGGTTGGAATGCCCCAGCTCAGACATAGGCGCTTGCAGGTACGTCGTATGGTTTTTAGTGGGTCATCAATTCCACATACCACCCCGCCATCCTTCTGGCGTGGGGTGATGGTCCTTTGAAGATTTTGTTCACGTCTAAAAAAAATGGGATCCGAACCTCGGCTCAGGCCGTCGTAATTTCGATTCCCGTTTGAACTGCCCGGAGGAATGATCGGAGGAGAGTCTACTTGTGTAAAGTATGTGACTTAACAATTTGTTATTATGACAAGCATGGGCGTTGTATAACAGATTCCAGTTTGTATCGAACTCGATTTTTGTGGTGAAAGTATATATACTCGTATAGGTGTTACGAGATTTGATATCTCGATTCAATGGGATAGAACATGCAATCGATACCTTATACATGTAGGTCAATTGAGATGTATAAATCGATTCTAGTTGTAACGAATACAATAGCAATGTTTATAATTATTTTATTGTCGTCGATTATAAAGGTTGTTGCTCTTGTTATTATTTCTTTTATTTTATTGTAAAATAATACTTTCACTAATAATAAATTAGTAATATAATTTAAGTATATTGGGTTTTTATTTTATTGGATGATAATGTAAAGGTGCACCCGCCTGCGTTAACGGTTTACGCTGACGGGGCACTAGTGGACGATGATAAGTTGAACATGAGGTCAGGTCAGTTATCCCATCGTTACAAATTCACCTTATTCGAATTTGTCACGGTGATTTCCAGGGGAGCTTCTGACGTCAACCTGACATGATATGTTGCTAGCAATAGGGTTATTAATCCACATTACTATCCCATTCCTCCCAGTGCAATAGATATTGTCAAGTATGTAATTTATTTAGTACTTGGATTACCAATCTTCGTTCGGTCATTCTTTTTTGTATATACTTTTCCAGGGAAGACATGTAGATAAACTTGAAAATATATTACCACTTTCGGAATTCAAGATAAATCTAACGACATCTCATTTATTAAATGTCAAACAACCTGATATACACACATACACTCATAAACATGTGCATGTGTTCTTTAGTTACTTTTACAAGCACGTAGGTACTGTATTCAAAAATTGTCGGCAACTGTAAGCCTAGTGTCCGATCCGGAAATCGAACTCGAGACTTCAAGGTCTAAAACCGGTACCGAAACCAGTAGACCAACAGCTTAATAAATTATAAACAAGCATAAAACATTATATACGTTTATCTTATTGCAATGTTTGTATTGTAGTTAAAAGCTATATGCAATTTCAAGGAAATATTAAATGTAGAGAGAAGGCTATATCCAGCAGTGGACTGCAGCGAACTGATGATGATAAGATGATTGAATTTAAAGACTGAATAACGTTGTTGTGAGTAGACACCCCAAGAGAACATGTATAAATGATATGAAAGATGATATATATACATAGCAGATGTCTAGCTGCTATATACATAGCAGTCTTAATTATTACACGCACAAATACACTATAATATGGAAAAGGACATTGATTCCTGAAATACAGGTATTTAGAATACTTTCCTCAGAGGTGAGGGACGTCATAAATAGTTATATAAAATATCTGAAAATAAAGAATTATTAATATTATTAATATCAAACTCCGATATGAGCTGATAGTATTAATTATAAAGAGAGAGACAGAGAGATAAAGACATTGTATAGAGCGAAAAGAAGAGAAGGTTCATCTCATTTTCCGGTTTATAGTTTTTTCAAATCCTTAACGTATTGTAACGAATGAACAAACGAAGAAATTTACATGATAAGGTATATTTCTGGCAATAAAGAAGCTAATTAGAATCTCTGTTCTTTCAGATAAGGAGAGTCGTCACTTGAATTGAAGAACCAACCAACGAAGTAACTCCTGCTGTCAATACTATTCAATCTCATCTGTACTAGCTATTACATCTTTTCCTGTTAAATTAAGGAGGTAAGTGCCTTAAACATTATACTACAACAACAAAACAAAGATATCACTGTAACTGTCTGACCGAATGTATAATTTTTTATTGAGACTTTTATAAAAAAAATGCCACCGAGATTATCAAAAAGCTTGTGTTCTTACAATTAATTATTGTTATTTCCCTTATAATAAATATAAATGGAAAAATGATGATGAGGTGACAGCCGTATCTGCATCTGCTTTAAAGGTTCAGATAAAAACGGCTAGTGCAATATTCACAGAGTATGTTGAAAAGAACATAGAAATAATCTTTATACAAATAAAACTAATACTTTTGAATAGTCATATTTGTTTGATGGTAGCACTCATTCGGATGGTAGACTTATCACAAGAAGAATGAGCAAGATACTTGAGTGTTGCTCTTTCAATTAAATGTTGTTTAGTTTAACATTACATTTTTCTACGTTTTGTGAATATAAAAGTAAATAAAAATAACATACTTGAGTAACAAAATGAATATATTAATAGTTATTAGAGCAGACCAGTTCCACAAAGTAAAATCCGTCCTCGAGTATAACGAATACGGTTTGATATATAAACTACAGAGAAGTGATAAAAATATTAATAACTAAATGTGCCCGCGGTTTCATGCATTAAATTTATAACATATAGTTATGGTGATATATAACCTATAAAGTTTCATCAAAATCCGTTTAGTAGTTTTTGCGTGAAAGAGTAGCAATCATCCATCCATACTCACAAACTTTCGCATTTATAATGTTAATAATAAGATTATAAATAAATAATCGTTATTAGGTTAAAGCTTTAAGACGATCCGGATAATTATTTCATTGCTTGGGGTTTAAGCAATTAAATATTTATCCCGTGAATACTTTTCAATATGCCGTCTATAATTTTATTAATAAAACAATTGTAGTTCTTGTATAGATGTTTTATTTATTATTGTCATTTTATTATCATCAATAGACGGCGTCTATAATTACACCCGTACAAATGCAGCCATAACTAGTTAACTCAACCGTTACATAACCAGCATTTTTATTTAAAGAATAACATGCTAATGATAATAATACAGTTTAGTATTCACCGATACTTCCTTGCCCTTTCTCGACGAAGGCGCATTATTCTATTACAATTTATATTATTTCCTGATGACTAACAGACCGGAAACACCGTCTACCTGCGCCCGAGCATAACAAATACCTTACTTTGGACCTTACAAACCTATCTATTTATCTTACAATATTAACGTGACACGAGAAGCATCGTATCTTTAGTATTGTAGTATTGTGTTTAAATTCATATTCAACCGACTTCCAAAATGCAGGAGGTTCTCTGTGTTTTTTTTTGTGTTTATGTTACGCAATGTTTGAGCAGTATTGCTTCGCATTTTATCATGATTAATTTACATAATATTTTGTAATTTCAGCTTATGTGACTACTATTACCTACTGAAAATTTTTATCAAAATACGTTCAGTAGTTTTTTCGTAAAAGAGTAATAAATAGTAAGTTTAAATTCTATGAGGTCTAAAATAATTTATTTTAGAACATTTTAATGTTAAGTTTGTAACCAAAATCTTTTTTGTTTAATTAAATTTTGTTTATGAGATTCCACTACAGTAGCCGTTTACCATAATTTCGAACGTACGCTAAGATTCATTATTTTCTGAGTGAAAACTATATCCTTAGAACTGTGACCCCAGATTAGTCAGAGGTAATATCAACTGTCGCTGTGAGAAGAGAAGACTTAAGTGTTTAAATGTTAAATGTTTAAATAAGTCTGTAAGAATAGAATAGAAAATTATTTATTTAAATAAACTTACATTTCAGCACTTTTGAATAGTCATCACTTATTTTTTTAATGTACCGCTCATTCGGAAATCTGTTTCATCACAAGAAGAACGAGAAACTTTACGTGTTGATCTTTTAAATGATGTGGTTGTAACTTTACCTTTTTAAGTTGTAATGTGTGAATACAAACTACCAACCGGGCGAGAACAAATCCACCATCATCTTTCAGATTAATTCACGTTGTTATCGGTGCTCTCTATAACCAGAGAATTAGTCAGCAACGTACCTTAATTTTTCCCAAAAAGAAGAATTGTATGGGCAATTCAAACAATGGTTTGAAACTATGTTATTTCCATACACCAGCAAGCTTCAAGTTTAAACGAAACCTGATCGAAAGTAGTGCTGTGTGTACAAACACTTAAACGCACCTTATCTCTTGCATAAGGGCGTGCCCACCTGACTTCGTCTTCAGTGTTAAGTTTGGAACAAAATAAAGACTTTTGCGAATAATCAACGAAATAATTTTCAAAAGCAGAATATTATGTCTATAATAATATTAAACATTCAAAAAGACTAATAATTATTTAGTTCTAAAAACATAAGAGTACAAATATAACAGACAGTCCATCTGATTATTATATCTGTAATTATAGTCCCGAAGAAATGTAAATACTAGAGCAACTACATATGCACAAAGGAAGACCTAAAAAATGCGACGAAATCTGCAAGGGTCGTTGCGGCGTTCTGAGGAAAATATATTTAAATATATGTATTTAGCTCCCGTTGAAACGAAAGAAGAAAACTACATATAATAAAATTGATACAATAACAATGACGTTGCAGTCATACTGACATTATATTCCAATATTTATACTTTTATACTACTATCATAAATGCGACCACCTATCTGTCTGTTACCTCTTCATGACTAAACAGTTGAATGAATCTTAATGAAATAGTGTTATAATTTTTATATATTTCGAAAATTACTGATACAAAATTAGACCCTGCACTAGGCGAACCTAGTAACGCGGGAGACCGCAAAACAAATGCCAGTTGATATTAACCATTACAGATGAGTGAATTAGAATATAAAAATATGACTGAATTTTTTTATAATAGTAAGATCTAAAAAAATCTAGAATAGTATAAAAGTGTGTAGACGAAGTCGGGTTAAACGACTAGCACCTAATAAGCCAAATACTCATTCCAAATGCTGGGTCATTATTATAATAATTAACGGGCTTTTCAATTCGTACTCATAATAATCGGTCGATCGCCGCTAGTATTTAGCCACTTGCGTCAAACAACATGCAAGTCGGTCAGTGTTGATGAAAGCCGGCGCGTGAGTCGCCTGTTAATGACTGACTTCTCAATGGACTTACTTTCAAGTTCTATAGTACTCAGTTAAACTATAACTGGAAAACGTTTGTTGATTTATTAAAAAAAATACATGTATACTGCAATAGCACGAGTTTATTTTGTAATGGCAAATGTAGCATCACCTTTATTTGAATTAAAGTGCTGCTCTATCCCACTTCTATTCTAGCTGTATTCTCTATACTAGTTCTATACGTGTTGCGGTATAGAGCTGGCTGCAATGTAGCTGCGATGTAGAGTAAATTGGAGTAATTAGTATCCTGTATGTATATGATGGAATATGTATACACAAATGAAATCGAATCCGTTCAATAGTTTTTGCATGCGAGAGTAATAAACATACATTCATACATATATATAAAAAATAAAATAAATAATCGCAAACTTTGGCGTTTATAATTTTCTAGCGACTATATATAATAGTTCGTATAATAATAATATAATATCTAAGGAAGACACATACATAAAACAACCATCTATACAAACAATTATATCCATAAATATAAATATAATAATAATAAAATATATAAATGTTTGTACCATGCGACGAATCGAACCCACAACCACCGGAGGCAAAGCTTTAGATCCTAAATCGCTAGGTAGTGATTAGACCAGAGTTGCCAACCTGAAAACACGAGAAATAAACATATTTCTACAAGGTTTCCTAGTACAGTTGGTATCTCTGGATCAGACAAGTGCAGTAATTTGAATAGTTACTAATGAAGAGTTTTTTAATAGTCATAAATAGCATCATTAAACCTTGCTCAGAACTTGTGTAATAGACAACTTGTTAACTTTTTTAGATTATTATCTATTACTGTAATAAAACTGTTGTGATAAAAAAAAACTGTACTATGGAAATATATCACAAAAACAATATACGCATATTTTATAAGTGCGTAATAATTTATAAATAACCATCGATCCTTATACCAGCTTCGCATATTCATTTATTGTAGGAATCTAAATTTTTATTATGTATGTACATCCTAATTTATTCGCTTATAATGTAGCTATGTAGCTTTCTATAGATGAATAATACTTTAACGTTGGTTAAGTATTTTTTAATTTAATCCATCACAAAGAAATGAACAAACGTTCAGGCCAATAAAGCCAGGCCTTATTAAGGATTTATGTGATTCTTAAAACATAAATCAATTGAATTGAGAATTTCCTACTTTTTTGATGTCAGTTGAAAATCACGGTTTACAAGTTAACGGTAAATGGATACGTCATAAGTTACATACACTTTTTAAATACATAAATTTTAAGTGTGTAAAGATTTATTTTATTTTATTAAATTGTACATAATATTTGAATTTTAAAAGATTGTAAATTTATTACGGGCTGTATATTTTATTACCTAATGCCGTAACGTGGTAAACATTACTAAAAAATATATTAACGCTTTTCCCTTGCAATAGAAATACCAAATATAGTTAGAGAAAGTGTTTTATTGCCGGATTTAATGATATATAAAGTCCTATGATATGTGACGTACAGTTTTATAATGGTCAATATTTTGTTTCTTAATTGCTTAGATAAATTTCAGTACTATATATTATGGCCCATCTAAAAAAGGAAATAGTCTATTATATGTTTTTACTAATTGTATCACATTTAATTTCACAGTATACTAAAGTATAGTAGATGACTTTATTAAATTAATTTTATTATACTGAGTATTGTTATCGTTATTTTTTCGCCTTTTCAATTTTTCTAACATATGGGCTTATTAAATTATTACTACTACTGATTTATATAGGGGTACTTCTTACTTCAATATATGAATAACATACTATACAGTGCTAATTATATGTAAATACTAAAATA